ACATTTTGGGACAAAACACATACGACATATGGTTTTATAACTGAGAGTTTAAACATACATGCATCCAATTTCCCTGTGTATTAACTAACAACAAAAACTACAAATAAAGGAAGCACTTTGTTTGTTCCGCAATTAACCGTAAATCATCAACGTGTGATCCGAGATTTATTAAAAACCTTTGTTCAGTTACACTGTTTCCACTTTACATCAGGTGGCAGTCAGTCAGTCAGTGCGTCCTGCTAACATGGACCCGCTCCCGGTGTCAGAAACATCAGTGTCGGTTTTCTGGCTGCGCCTTTTAAAAACCGAACTTCACAGAAACACCTGAGTGAGACATTAGACAGGGCGCACACACACCCTCTCACATCCACACCAGCATTGTAGAAAAATAGAGTGATCACTACCTGAATCAAATTTCAAGGGATTCAAGGCTTTTCCATAGAAAAAATAAAGAAAATCGCTATGAACAATCAAGACAAGCAGAATCTAACAGCCTAGAGCCTAGATATGGGCTTCATCATGACTTGAGGCTATTTGTCAAGGAGGCCTGCATGTTTCTGCAAGGAAAACAACATGATGTGCAACGAGTGAGCATTTGATAGCAGCATCTGAATATTTTGCACTGTGGGTTGGACACTAAGCTGAATGGGCAGGGCAGCAGGCAGTTCAGCATGTTCAACTACACATGGGAATTCACCAAATCCTTCCTGTATTGCTCCAGCCAGTTTCTGAGCTCGGAAATCCGGTATCCCTCTGGACCTCTGCCTCCCTGATACACCACTCTTTCATCCCTCACGATGTAAAGTCTCTCAAAGTAGGCTCCGTACGCGGCGTTGGACGAGTTGTCCATATTATCCACCACTACGTTGCTCCCCGGCACCTCGGAGAGCATCAGCTGAGCGGCTCTCAGTCTGTCCTCCAAGCAGCGGTGCTTGCGGATCTGATACGGTGCGTCCGAGCTCACCCAGCCGTCCGACGGATGCGCCTCCTCGATATATACTACTAAAAAGTCCGCAATATCTGCGTACTGGCTTACGAGGCGCTGAAACGCCGCCAGGCGCGTCATGAATGGCGGTCAGGAGCAGCTGCCAAAGTTAAGAATGAGCGGTCTCTTCTCTTTCATACAGTCCAGGATCCGGACCTGCCTCCGCTCCTGGACCAGCACCACCTCGGTGTTGGGCGCAGTGTGCCCGAGGTGCGCAGATTTGAGAAAGTCTAATTTCTGGCCGTACCACACGGCCCTGAGGGACTCCAAGGTGAACATCTTATTAGAGTCGGAGACACACACCGGCGGGTCGTCCGGGCTGTCCAGCTTCTCTCCCATTTTCAGCAGCATTTTTTTCCTGATGCACAAGAAATCCAAGAACCATAGCATGACTGCAGCCAAGAGGAAGCGCGGCAGCAGCATCAGGCACAGGGCTGCATGTTTAAGCGCCCTCGCCATTTGGACACCGCCAGAGTCGTGCATCATCTGGTCCCCAGCCGATAGGATGCGACTGGGCCGGCTTAAGACACAACTAGTATTTAGTCACCTTTACCCATTGGAGAAAACTATCTGACGCACATAGCGACTCTTTTTATATGTACAGCGTATTTGAATAATGAGCAAAAAGTAAGAAAAAACACGCCCCCGGTGCCCGCACCGCCCACTCACATGGCGGGGATTACCTCCCGTCAACTCTGGGCTTCAAAGATCCAGGGAGATAGTGGGTGGTGTGTGTGTGTGTGTGTGTGTGTGTGTTTGTGTTTGAAACAGCTTGAATGACTAGCTTCAGTTTACATGTATAGACAAAATGCGTTTTTTCGTTTACTTTACTTATTTGTGAGACACGGGGATTAATTCTAATTGCCTGTAGCTCAAGGCAGGGATGGTCATGAAAGTTGAAAAAACATTTGACTTCACGTCATTCTCCCTGTGAGGAGCGCAGGAGCCCTTACAGCCACTAGACGGCGCTGTATTCATAGAGAATGTGAAGCCTGGATGACTCATTAACTGATTTGCTGTTGGGCCCCTGAACATCTTGTGTGGAATAAAAGGCAGTGTCAACCTGTCACCACCAGTTTCAAAACTGAAACATGTTCAGTATATTAAAGTCTTTTTTATCATCAGGAGGACTTAGCAGCCTATAAGTTCAATAAAAGATACAAAAGACAATTTTAACCTTGACCACAACTGGAATGTTAGTCACATCACCTCACCTTGAAACCTCATCCACAAAACCACTCAGATGTGTTGCTCTGATGCCATAACAATGCAAGCATGTGTCCAGCCATCCATCCCACCCCCACCCCCTCCCTCTGTTTGAGCTATGTCCCTCCTCTCCCCCGGGGCCCTCCTACATCTTTCTTTTTCTGTCTACCTCCTTTGTCGATTACCTCCCTATGTCTCTGTCATCCACTAAACTGTCACACACAGTGTTTTACTCTAAACAAAAACTGTCTTGTTACTTATAGATTTCTGAGTTTTTATTATCACAATTAACACTTGCGTCAGAGGCGGGGAGAGATGGAGGCTGCGTACACTGATGCTGATCATAAAAGCACACACGCAGAGATGGAAGGAGATGACAGAGGACATCGAACCAGATGAGATGATTTCTACAAGAGAGGAAAATCTGGAGGAAGCAGAGAGAGACAGGAGGATGCAAATGCTTGAAGAGCTTCTTCATCTGGAAAAAATAAAACTGTTCATAGTGGTGCTGTAGTCCTCTTATGCATGAAAACATATGGGTGATATGTAGACAAGCATTAAAAAGGTTCATAAGTTAAAAAACAGACATGAAAACCTTTGTGATGATGTGAGATGAATAACAAGAGGATGGAGTTGCCAGGAATAAAGTGAAGAAGCGGAAGTTATTTCTTGTGTCATTGATGGGAAATGATAGAAATGATAAAAAGGGAGAAATTTAAAACAAGTTTTTAAAGTGTTTCACTTTTACACTGTGGCCTTTATATAGTCTTTGCCAAAAGTTTAAAGCTGTTATTATAATAATACTTTAATAAACCAAAAAACTGCTGAAATCAAGCAACAGTTTGAATCTTTAAAAATACAGCCCATTGGCCATTTAAAACAGTAGTTTCACATTTTGAGAAATATGCTTTTCTGCTTTCTTGTTGGGAGTTAGATGAGAAAACCAATAGCCTACCATTGTCATGCTGGTCAGGTAAATATGAAGCTAGACCCAGGAGACAGCAAACTTAGCATAAAGACTAGAAACAAGGAAACTCACGAGGGTGCTAGGGAACAAAATGAGTCTCCAAGTAGATACTGTGCTCACCCAATTAGTAATAATAAGCATTATATCATTTGAAATGTCAGACCTCGACAGGGCAAGAAGACACAAGTGGTAAGATGATCAGACATGTTGTGAAATGGCCAACAGTCTGGTCTCTTTGTCTACAACTGTACTTGAAAATAAAACCAAAAGTAAGTTTACCCTAAATATCAGGCACTGCACAGGAGTGGTGTATTCATGGAAAGCTGTAGCAAGTAGGTCAAAGTTGAACTAGGAAGTCAGTCTGTAAACTGTGATGTAAGTAAGAAAAAAGCTTGATTAGTTTAAACACTTGTTATAGAATGAAGGCACTGATCGAATCTATAATTGGCTGAATGCTGTTAGACTTGTACTGGGCTGTAAGCATAAAAAGAAAGGACACAATGTAAAGCTGGGCCCTATAAACAGGAGTTTCTGGTTTCTCCACACATCTCTGTGAAACTGTGATCTTGATTAGACCACTGGTGTCTTTTGGTGGTTTACACCCGGGCTAAAGGAAGAAAAGAACGTGTGCTGGCTTGTGAACAGCTCCTGGCTGGTGTCGACTTCTTGGAATGAATCTGATTTTCCTAGAATCATTAGAGCTTCTAGGATCAGCTCATGTTCATCCTCGTGTGACCTAATGGTCTGAGAGGTCAGCACGGAAATGTTAATTCACCTAAGCACATTAACTTTGGCAAAGACCGTCAACATGCAACCACTCAGACATGGGTCCCTTGACCTCACACGCACTTTGACCACCGAACACCTTTTGAGCACATGATTACAAATGATAGGGTGACTAAGTCAATGACTTAACGTTACTCTCACTTTGTAGAATATGCAGACACCCTGCTCCGAAATAGTTTTGTTTTAATGATTTTTAAGAAACTTGTGCACGTCTTTATTTCTAGCTGTTTTCACTGCTATAACTTTCTCTATTTGGAGATTAATCAATCATCTCTAGACCTTTGCTGACAGGTGCTCGTAAACATGAATATATTACACCCATTTTGGCTTCCCTGCATTAGCTCTCGGTACAGTTTCGGATTCATTTCAAAATCCTTCTTTTGACTTATAGACCCCAAAATGAGACTGTTCCCCTTTACATCTGTGATCTTCGTCACTATTATGCTCCAACCAGAATGCTTAGGTCCCTCGACCAGATGCTACTGGTTGTCTCAAAGGTCTTTCTAAAGTCCCATGATGGGCGCTCATTTTCTTTTGTGGTCCCTACTTTGTATAATAACCTTGTGTTCAATAGTTGAATGTCTTCTTCCTTTTCTGCATTTAAAAGTCAGCTTAAAGCTTCTTTATTTGGTCTTACTGTAGGTTAATGACTGTTTTAAATTTTTTTAACCTTTTCTTAAGCACGTTGGCCAACTTTTGTTGATTTTAACAGTGCTGTATAAATAAATTTGACCTGATTTGACTCGAGTTTGACTGTTTACTGCTACAGTCCCACGGATACCACTGTTTTTCATGTTCTCAACCAACGGCTTGACCAGTAATGAAGCACTGGCAGTTTGAATCTTTTTATTTTTTTTCCGCCCAAAATAAACTACTCAAACCATACTTTTATTAGACACAGCCTGGTTTTTGGCATGGGTGCCTCGGTCATGCAAGGACATCCCAGAATAGGAAATACAGCCTGGACAGAGCCTGCAGCAAAGCACTAGGAATGGGTGGCAGGGATCCAGCGAAAGCACTATTAGTACACTGCGCATTGGGGAGTCACTGAATACACACCTCTCAGGGAGCATAAATCCTTAGGTATTTGGCTTGGCAACAGACTGTCATTTAAGACTGACATCCAATGTTTGGCACAAAATCTAAAAATGAAATCAGGTTTAAAGGTTGTTTGTCATGTCAGAATAGTAAATCTAAGGTTATCTGTTATTTCCATCCTTAATTAAGAAGATATTTTGTACTGTCATGCTGCTCCAACAGTGCTTCAGTAGTTGACTCCTGTCAATCATATTGCATTACACTTCATTAACAGTGATACAGTTTTTACTCATCATTGCTTAGTAGTAGTGTGTGTATTTATCTAGATAGATAGATAAATATGTATGTAAAAATAAAAAGGTAGAGAGCCCTTCTGACTATTCATGCTTAAAATACAGCCCCATCCCTCATCTTTGTCAAACATTTGAGTAGGTTTGTAGTTACTAAGCAACCGTCATGTAGTCCCCCTCAGACTAATCTGTCTAGGCCGCTTTGGCTGCATGGAGCCTTCGATGCACAGAGATGCATCACCTTGGATCACTACCGTCCTTTGTCCACACGAGCAGCTGTGATACACCAAATGGCACGTCTTTAGAGAAAGTGACTTCTTCCTGTTATTGCATGACCTAGGCTGGTCATTTAGACCTGATAAATAACTAATCTGGTGCATCAATATAGAGTCAGTCCTGGGAAGAATGGTACGTTTTACACCATGTTCCTCACTGTGGTTTATCAGCATGCTCCCAAATGAGTCACGCTACATCTTTTGACTTTTCAGCCAGAAACACCACCAGAACTAAGTAGATAAAAGTAGAACAAAGTGTATCAGCTGAGGTTTAATATGATGCTCTTGTGCAAATGAAAGACTATTCTCAGATGTCAAAACACAGAGTTATTAACCAGAAGAGATTTCCAGTAAGGCTTCCAATGTGATTTAGATTTGGACAAGACTTTCACTCATGTTTTCTTCATTTCCAACCCCTTATGCAAAACAGTCTTTGCTTGTCATTATAACAGAGGCTTTCTTTGGATAAGTTTTCCTGGAAGTGTGTGTTTATTTGACCCATTTAGAATGGTAAATGGACTGTATTTTATATAGCGCTTCCTCACAGTGTGTTGCACTGGCCAAAGTGCTTTACAGAAGATCATACACCATTCACCCATTCACACACCAATGACAACAGGCTGCCATGCACCGGCGCTAGTCAAGCCACCGGGAGCAATTCAGGGTTCAGTGTCTTGCTCAGGGACACTTAGGCATGTGGGGAGACCGGGAGTCGAACCACCAACTTGCAGGTCAGGAGACGACTGCCCTACCTCATGAGCCACAGCCACCCCTTATTTAGAAAATAAAATCTGTTAATGGGAGCAGAGAAACTGACACAGAATTCATGTTATTGCTTTTATGTTGAACAGTTGGCAGGTTTCAACAAAGGCAAACCCCATGTGCCCTGAGGATTCATATTTTTGTGTGGAATGTTGTGAAGTACCTTTATTTGAGACATAGGGTTGGTGTTAAGCACAAACACTCGCTCACTCACAGTTAGCAAACTCAGTGAGCTTTTTATCCCTGCTTTCAATATTCTTTAATCAATTAAATTCTGTACCGTTGTGACAGAAGATAGAACAGGGGAGGAAACAGATCAATACAGTAA